ACTGTCTGCCTCCCTCACAGAAACACCAGATGATTTTCATTATCAAGTGAGTTTGGTAATTGCCTCTTTAGAAGAATGAGGTTGTTAGAGATGATGTCGTAACTTTTTATGTCCTGACTCTTAGGATTTTAGTCTGTGCTTGGCAACTGTTCTGGTTTAACTCCGGAGTCCACTGGATCTGTGATATATTCATATGCTACTGAAGAGCTCACTTAATGTTTTCTGCTTCCAACCTTGAGTGATGTTGTGTATAAACGGTTTCACCTAGGTTTAAAGATATCTCTAAAATTGGCCTCACTCTGCCTCTTGCAGTGTCTGTCCCTAGATGCCCACATGTTGGTATTGTAGCAGGGATAACTCAGGACCCTGTCTCCGTAGCGGAATCAATGAACACAATGACAAGGGATTGAGGAAAAGAAAAATGGTTTAGTTGTGCCAACAAAATGAGGCCACGGTGGGCTCATGCCCCAAAATCCACAGTCCTCCTGAGGCATTAGGAGTTGGAGTTTTTAAAGGAGAATCTGTGGGAAAGAATGTACCCTTGGTCACCGTGATTATTCATTGGGGAGGGATCCCATCTCTCTGGCGCTAAGCCAGCTGTTATCTCTAGCTACAGCAGGAGATTTAGGGCTCCATCAATCAATCTTCCCACATCACTCAAAATTGGGCCCTGGGAAGTGGAAGAAAACCGCCGCCAATTAATGCTTTGCAGTCCGGCGTCCTCCCATCAGCCTGCGTTTGGCCGAGATACAGGAAGCTGCAGGTGTCCTCTGTCTGCCTGTCCCTGTGATGAAGGGTGGATTTGGCGCCAGGAACCAGGAGTTGGGGAGCTTAGGCTTCTTGAGAATTTCGAGATCTCAGTCTCCCTGTAACAAACCTCAAGAACTGGTAATTAGCCAGAATTTCAGTTTGTAGCCACCTGGGCTTTTAATAATTTATTACCTCCATTTGTCTTGTGGAATTCAGGGACACAAAGGCTAAAACAACCAATATCTACATGTGAAAGTGACTTAGAGAAGCAGGGAAGGGGGAGTGAGTGCCTTTGGTTTTAACCCCATACATGCTGGGTTTAATGTAGGGGAACTGATATTGGGGCCGGCATCAAGCCAAAAGCTACAAGGCGTTTTACTTTTTCCTCTGTTACAGTATGGCCTTTCCACATTGAACGATGCCTTTGTTTTGCCCACCTCGTGCCGTGTCTGTTTCCACCCCATGTCTTAGGGCCCACTCTCTGCCCCTGAAGTGTCTTCTCCTGTGTCAGCTACGTGCCTGTTTGCCCTGAAAAGCCCACTCCCTGCCCTGCCTCTCCTCCTGTCTTCTGCAAACAACATTTCTTACAGTTTGGCCAATGGGCAGCACCAGCCAGGAATGGGAGGAAGTCAGCATGTGTCTTTATGTCAGTCTCGTCTCTGTACTCTCCACGTCGCCACCATGTCTCCTGCTCCCTCCACAGACCCTCCCTCTGTGGTCACAGCTCACCCAGACAGTCCTGTCTCCTCAGATCTGCTCGCACCCTCTATCCCCTTGTCCCACTAGTCCTAAGGCTGTCCAGCTCTCTGCTGATGCTATCCTCTGGGCTGCTTCCTTGTTTTCTATTCATCTGTTTGGCCCTTCCAAGACTTTTTTAAAAATGAGAATTATTAAAAAAAAAATTTTTTCCTCCAGAATGGAATTGGGTGCATATTTTTTCCAAGCAGCTGAACTGTTCCCCCCCCCATCTCAGTAACTTAAGTAATTGCCAGAACTGTTTACTTTTTTGTCATTTTGATCACCTCCTCCTATTTTATTATTCAGTAGCTCCAACCTATGTGTTAATAAAAACACAGCCCGCTGTAGACTTTACAGTAGACAAATTACCTGCCGGTACAGGCTTTGAGGACAGAAAGAGAAACAATGGAAAATATATATTACTGACAAATTTAAGTTTTCTTCTCAGAAGGTAATTTTAGCGCTGTGGAATTGACATTTCCTCTCTGATGGAGCAGAACTTGATTTTTTAATGTGTCTTTGTGTTTAGTTTTTAGATCACTCAAAGGAATTCTGAGTCCAATTTTCCTCGATGTTTTAATATTTTCCGGGATAATAGAGTCTTAGAAGCATTTTGACTCTTGCCCAAGTGCCATGCTTACGGAACAACAGCAGTGTGCAAATAGTTGTGTGGTGGCCTAAGAACTAACGAGCATATTCAGGTTTCTTACCACCATAAGTGCCTTAGCCATGGGGGAAAATAGGACACAGAGACTTAAATATGGGTACATCAGTGTCTGTGCGGGCAAGAAAATGGCCATAATATCCACTTCAGTGGGTGCTTATGATGGGAGTGGACACTAGCATCTTTTATTGAAAAAGGAAACGGTAATCAAGATACTAGAGCTATTACTTCATTTGTGGAAAAATAACTCATAAGCCTTAATTTTTGAAAAAGGAAGCAAGAACCCACTATTCTTATCGGCTTGACAATAGGAAATAGTTTGTATGCTTTTGCATTTTGGTTTGTATTTTTGTCCTTTATTTGTTGCTTAAAAATTACAGATTACTTTCAGAGGAGGTTTCTTTCCAAGACTTTTGCAGCTGGTTCTCCCCATTAAATATTATTATTGAACTTCCTGGTGTGGGCTCTGTATTTCTGATTGGATCCTGACTGATATACCACTTTCAAGACACAAGCACTCCAAAATTATTTAACAGGTCATTATTGACCATCTGACAAGGGCATAGTACTGAGGACATAGAGACAAGTAAGATCCAGTCCCGTTGCTACTGTCGAAGAACTTAGCCTCACAGGAGACAGACAAATCCATGTGATTGCAGTACGGTCTTTTGGAGAAGCGCGTGGGTTCTGGAGGCAAACCACAGGGAATTAGTGGGCTCTGGACTTACTTGCCTTGTGAACATGGGCAAGTTAGGCACCCATTGAGAAGGACCTTGTGCAGTAGGCTGAGGGGGTAGATTGGGGGGTGCTCTTGCACAATGGGGAGATATGCAGGAAGAGTGCCCTGCAGGAGCATTTAGGATGGATGGGGAAGGTCTGACTGAATGCAAGGCTGCCTTTTAGGAAGATACTGCCGTGGCTCAGGATGGCGGTGGTGGGGATGAGGAGATGGAGGCAGAAGGATTGTTTGGCCATAGAATCATCAGGAATGGTTGGTAAACTGGAGAGGGAAAGGGAAGGTAAAGAAATAAATGACAAACTTTCTAGTCTTCCAGGACTGTTCCATGGCAGGATGATTTCTCTTCTCTCTGAATTCTCATTGAGCAATAGCACCAAACAGTAACACATTTCATTATCTCTAATCTTTTAAAGTACTCATATCTGTCCTCCCCCCACCCAGAATGAATGATGGGTCCTTAAAGACAATAATAATGATAATATTTTTTCTATCCCCCAGTGTTCCATATAATATTTCATATATACATGTATTTAACAGATTTCTTTGATAGATCTAGATATACTTAAAAGTGTTCTTCAAAAAATGATATATTGCTGCAAGTCAAATTAAGTAATAACTTTAAGAATTTAATAAAGTAACTCTAAATTCTTTACCTTTCCAAAATATCAAATTAGTAAATATTTGTTATTAAATGGAGTAAAAATATAATCTTACTTTCAAGATTTTGATCTACAGTTGCAGTTAAGTACCCTCTTAGCAACCATCCTTAATAACAAGGAGCTAGTGATAGCTTAGTGATTTGAATTCAGAGATCTAATTGATTGAATTTTTTGAATAAGTGGACTAAGGTTAAATATGCAATATAATACACAATAATGTATCAAACTTCATTTTTTGTTTCTCTGCTAATGGATGGCTTATTGCATGATTAGAGAATGAAAAATTCAGTTTTCAGAATTCATTTACTGTAAACTGACTGAAATTGAATGGAAGAAAGCCCACACCTATTTGCTTTATTGATCCTATTTCCATGTGCTTAATAATGATTTCTTGACATTGACTTGAGAAATGTAATTTTCTTTCACATTTAATCAATGGAAAGTAATCTTTGAATCAGAATCCTTTTTGTGTAATACCATAATTAACACATTACATTCATGCAACATGTTACATGGAAAGAAGTGTGAAATATCACTTTCCATACTAATGTCTTATGTCATTTACCCCTGCTGTCTACTGGGCAGCTTCTGCTGACAGAGAAGAGGCCACCTTTCGTGTGTTGCATACCTCACAAGGGCCCAAACAATCACAAGTGACGTGTAGTCTGCTAAGAGAGCAGGAAGAAATCGAGCAAGGGTGGTTTTGGTGAGACACTTTTGCCCTGAAACTAGCCCTGCCAGTCTCACTGGATGTAAGATTAGCAGAAGGATGCACACTTTCAGCAGAGGACAGACAATAGAGTGTAAACGTTTTCTATCTTGATGGGTAGCTTTCTCAAATCAAAACCCAAATGTGAAGTGTCACTCCTACAAGGTTGCCAAGGATATAACAATCAGGAGAAACTCTAATTTTGTTTTGTTTTGTTTTGGGAAAACGTGACAGCATCCCTATATACATCACCTCATCGTCCACTCTCTGCTGTATAACTTGGCAGAGCCCTCTCACTGTGGTCAGGTTTTTCATTCAATCTAGGTTTTAATCTGGACTAACCATGTTCAGAAATTTAAGCTAACAATAAAAAATGTAATGTCATGTTTAAGCACTTTAGAGTTGGCCATAAAAGGGATGGCTATATTTATTATTACTTTAAGTGATAATTACCTGTCATTGAACTAGCTAGAATTCTTGGAGAAGTTCAATTTTCCCTATTGAGTAACTTTCTTCATTGCATTTTATTCCATCCTTCTCTTGTATGCAGCTAAGATTCAATTTGTGGGAGGTAGCTTCACAAATCTCATTGGGCATATAGAATAATAATTTTTATTAGATTTTATTTTTTAGAGCTGTTTTATGTTTACAGGAAAATCACACAGAAAGTAGAGTTTCCATTTACTCCCTCTCCCACACCACACTTTATTACTAACATCTTACATTTCTGTGGTAATTTTTTACAATTGATGAACCAATATTGATGTATTATTAGTAACTAAAGTTTGTAGTTTACAATAGGGTTCACTCTTTCCGTTGTACTGTTTTATGGACTTTGACAAATGTATAAGGTCATGTAGACACCATTAGAGTATCATACAGAATAGTTTTACTGTCCTAAAAATGACCTGTATAAAATTATCACTTTAATCAATCAATAAAATCAGTATATTGAGAACTTCCCCTCTGTCTAGCAGTGTGCTAGATAAGGTGCTCTGGGGAACTGAAAATAAATCTAACGTATCACAACGGAGGCTCTTATATTAGAAAACATCTGCCCTAGCCCCCTCAGTTGAAGGACGGCTGTATTAGCTTCCCAGGGCTGCAAAACACAGTATCATGTACTGGATGGATTCAAACAACAGAAATTTATTGGGTCACGGTTGTGATAGAAGTTGAAATTAAAGTGTTGGCGGGGCCGTGCTCCCTCTGAAGCCTCTAGGGGAGGCTCCTTCCTTGCCCCTTCCAGCTTCTGGCAGCCCCAGGTGCTCCTCTGTGGCAGCATCACTCTCATCTCAGCCTCCATCTTCACACGGCATTCTCCTCTCTGTGTCTTCTCCCCTTCTGATAAATCATATTGGATTAAGGGACCACCCAACTCCAATATGACTTCATCTTAATTTTCTAATTACATCTTCAATGATCCTACTTCCAAATAAGTTCACACGCTGAGGTGCTGGGGGGTTTGGACTTCAATGCCTCTCTTTAGAGGACACCATTCAACCCATAACAATGATGGTGCACAGATGCGATTAGAATGGCTTGCCAAGCTAGTTAATGGCAGAGTCGACACCAGAGCTCAGATTTCCAGTCTTCAAAGCTGGGGTTTTTTCCCGCTTCTCCTTTCAGGAGCTTGTGTTCTGGTTCGGCCCGTAAGAATCACGCATACGCAGAGCTTAGAACCCCGCAGCACAGAGGTTATGATTGAGCGGTATGCCAGAGATACTTAGCAGTGGGAGTGAGCAAAATTGGGAGAAACTTTTTAGTATGAAGCTCAGGAAAGACTTCTTACTAAAGTAGTAGTGAACTGATCACCAATAGGACTACCAAAGGGAGAAAATATTGTCCTTTTCCTCAGGAAGCCAACCAATCAAGTTGGTATTATACGCTGTAGATGTAAGAAAAAAGACGAGATAAGTTACTCAGCTATTTACAAGTGGAAATTGCTTTTCTCGATGCACCTTCTATATGTGAGACTCTGTTATCCAGGTTATAGAGAATAGGGGACTCATGGCGTGGAGAGAACTCCCACAGGAGACACAGGGATCTGGGTGAGAGAATCATGTACGCAGGCTTCAGTGTTTCCATGAACCACCTGAATGCTGATCCTGGAGCTGCAGAGATTCCCACCACACCTCTACTTGACCTTCCTGGAGACAGAGAAGCCCGGGGGGGCCTCTGCCCCATGGGAACTGTCCCATAAAAAGTCTATAAATAAGAAAACAGCCTGTCTGCTTCTTAGGTAATGACAATCCAGGCAGATTCAGATTGACAAAATGCCAATTCTCACAAATTAAGATTGCCACCAAGCATCAATTTTCTCCTGAAAAAAAAAAGGCTACTCTGATTCTATTCAAATCTTATTTAAAAAGCCAGGAATTTAGGAACAGCTCTAAGAGATGCTGGAAAGTAGAATCATATTTTGCCCCATTAAAAGAGAAATGAAACCACCTGGGCGGTACGGGCACTAGAAACAGACCCGTGTTCTTCCTCCCTAGTACCCAGGCGTGGCTCAACATCGCTCTGCTCTTTACTGAGAACAACAGCCAGGCTTTTGCCCAAAGTGTCTCGTCTCCGGTGGGACCTGCCAGAACGGCCACATAGCATTTTTCTCTTGGCTATTTGTCTTGAATTTAATAGAATGTATATCAGAGACAATAGATTGTAAATTCACATTGCTTAGGTAAAGACCAGGCGGTAGGAGGATTTAGGAAGAAACACTGTTCCAGGAAATCAGAAGTGTCAGGCACACAAAAAGAATTACAGCCAGTGGGAAAATTGGGATAGCAGGGTGAGATGCTTTGTATTGAGGTATAATTAACATATAATATATATTAGCTTCAAGTATACCACATAAAATTCGATATTTGTGTATATTGCTAAAAGATCACCACAACCAGTTTAGTTAACGTCCATCACCACGTATAGTTACAAAACAATTTTTTTGTGATGAGAATTTTTAAGATCTACTCTCTTAGTAACTTTAAAATATACAATACAGTATTATTGACTATGGTCACCATGCTGTATATTACACCACTGTGACTTATTTATTTTATAACTGGAAGTTTGTGCATTTTGACCCCTTTCACCCATTTTGCCCACTCCCCATCCGTACCTCTGGCAACTACCAATCTGTTCTCTGTATCTATGAGCTTGGGTTTCTGTTGTTGTTTTTTAAATTCCTCATATGAGTGAGATCATAGAGTATTTCTCTTCCTCTGTCCTACTTATTTCACTTAGCACAATGCCTTCAAGATCCATCCACGCTGCCAGAAATGGCAAGATTTTATTTTCAAGGTGAGATGTTTGAAGAGTCATTCTTAAGTGGAGAAGAAAACCCACTGGGAGCCCCAGGAAACTGCAGAGATGGCGGCGAGAAAGAGAGAGTGCCTCCAACAGCAACTGTCTGTGCTGCGGAATTTCCACATTATTAGGTCAGTTAAAAATGGAGGAGAAAAGGAGAGAGAGAGAAGAGAAAAAAGTTTAAAAAGAAAGGAAATAGAAGTAAAGTAATAAATGGAAGGTAGAAGACTAAAAGAAGAGTAAAGATAAAATTTAACAATCAGGTAAAAGAAAATTGAATGGAGTAAAAAGATTTAATACAAACAATGAAAAAGCCAGCAATATTAACATTAAATTCTTAAAATTAAATTTTAAGAATTAGAACATAATTTAGGCAGATGTGAATTTTTGTATGGCATGAAAATAGATTATTTTTTCAAGTATGTTGGAAACAAGATTTTAAAGAAGAGGAAAAAAAAAGAAGGAAAGGAGAAGAAAGAAGCCTGAAGGATGAACAGATGATCTTCACTGAAGTAGACGTTGAAAGTAAATGTCAAATAGCCAGCATACAGCAAGGCAATAGAAAGTTCTAAAACTATGCTGAGAAAAGAATAAATAAAACAGAATAGACGTGTATGGAAACAAGAAAATAGTCAGTGTGGGGGTGGAAGAGGGAACAAAACTCAGAGTATTTGTGTAATTGCATTTTGCTGCATTAAATTTCTGTGATAGACACGTTTTATGAGTAGAGTATATCTACCTCTGAATTAAGTGTCTTGCCGTAAGACAATATGACAGCAAAGCTTGGGATTCATAAAAAATAGCTATTTGGTTCAGGAAAAATTAAAACAACTCCCAATTTATAGTAAAACCAAACCTACTCGTCTTCCAGATTAGACATATTGATATGAGATATATCAGAAAACGCCTTTATCCCCATCTTCAATACTTAAATAAACACACACTCACACACAATTTGTATCTTGAGACCAATTTCTTCATCTATACAATACAGAAATTGAACTAGATAGGGGTTTTTCTTTTTCAAAATAATAGATTGTTTCATTTTAAAAATAATTTATGGTTATAGTAGAAAAGAGAAAGGTTTAGAGTAAATAAAGATCATTCACATTCCCACCAATTGGAAATAATTATTAATGTCTTCATATACATTCTTGCAGATAAGCTATACACACATATCCATATTTTAAGTCTTATGTATTCTGTTTGATTATTCTGTTTGATAACCTCTTTCATTTATAACATCATTGAAATATCTCTGAAGAATACTGTTAGTATCTTTTCTCCCAATAAACCATAAATTATATAACTAAGCTCTCATTAATGGACTTAAAATTTTTTTCACTTTTCTGCTTTAGGAGTAATTCTGTGATGATTATCCTTGTATAGATACCTCTGAACATTTATTCAATTATTATTATTAATAGTTTCCTGCAAATAGAGTTTCTGTTTCAAAAAGTATGTATATTCTAAATTTTAGTGTGTGTGAATTCGAATCATCTGAACAAGTTCCAAAAAAGAAAATTCTTTGGGATTTTGGTTGGGATCTCATCGTATTTATAGATTAGGTTAAGGAGAATTCATTCACTCACTCATTCAACAAGTATGTACTGAGTACCTACTATGGGCCATATTCTAGAACAGCAGTGGACAATCCAAAGAGCCTGCAGTGAAGGCACATTTGCATAGAAGAGTCAAAAACAACAGGAACATAGCACACAGCGTGAAGTCAGGACGTGGCGAGTGCTAGTTGGTACGTGCAATGAAGAAAAGCTAAAGTGAAGTAAAGAGACAAAGATTGATGGGGCAGTGTTGTATAGAGGATGATAGGAAGGTTCATTAGATGGAGATATCTGGAGGCAGCCACATGGTTATCAAGGGGAGAGGCCAAGAGGCAGAGGAGCCAGAGAGCATTCTTGAGGGAGAGCAGGACAACAGCAAGGGTAGAGAAGGATCAGAAATCGAATACCAACAGCCTTTGGATGAATGCCAAGTATTTGGAATTTCCTTTTGAGTGTCATCAGAATCCAGTGAAGAAATTTGTGCAGAGAAGTAACAAAGCCCTTTAAAAATATTCTCTCTTTTCTTCCTGAAGTACCATATGCTCTCCATTTATCTGTCCCCTTTATCTCTCTGTAGAATTTTTCCCTTTCAGTGTACTCTTATTAAGTGTATTATTAAATTTGTGTTTTACTTTATCATTCTTCTACATAAGAATTTATTTTCATTGTTTTCAGAATGAGTGTTTTAGCTAAAGAAGCCTACAGACCCCTTCAGTACTTAATTCTATTGTTCTATGAGCTCAGTGCTACACCACTGATTTTCAAAAGCTTCTGTGGATTCATACAAGACCTTAAATGTCTAGGGAGCTGTGGAGAATGGCCTGGGGTTACTTTGACTTCGGGTCTCCTAGAGTCACCTTGGAGGACGTATTAGAATAGATTCAAGTACATTGAAATCAGAGGAGCTCTTTCTGGGACAAGCCTGTTACATTGGCTTCTGTGGAGTTTGGTTCTCAGGTCCTTGGGTCTTTCCTGAATGAAATTTCCTAGAGCAGTGTTTCCCCAAAAGTGCATCAGAATCACCTGGGGAGCTTGTAAAAACAGCTGTCCAGAGATTCCTGTTCCTAGAGATTCTGATCCCTAAAATTTGGGAAAGACTATTCAAAACCAGTTATAGACCTGCCACATCCTTCTAGTAGAGCCAGGATTTCCTATCACTCTTCCAACAGGAAGCAGGACAGGCCTTGGAAAGCAGGGAACCTGACTGAAATTGCTCAACCTGAAACCGTTATGCAGTTAGGATCCTGATTCAGAGAAAAACGTGTTCTTTCCTATATTGAAAGGAATTCCACATCTGGGTTTTACCTGGGTCCTTATCTATAAATACATTTGTAGTCTAACAATCATCTTAATATTTTTATAATATTCTAGGAAACCCTCCGGGTGAAATGTAGGGAATGGTGCAGCTGGATCCATAGCACACTGGAAAGGTTATGCCTGAGGCAATGTTCCCGCAGATAAGACTTTCCCAAGATGTAGGAAGTAGCTTGGTTTAGTGGAATGACAACAGTTAGGGTGTCAGATGGCCTAGATGCAAATCCTGAGTCGTTTAACTTTGTAAAGCCTCAGTTTACTCAGCTGTCAAGTGAAGAAATAGCATGTATGCATGCGTCTCAAGGAGTTGCTGTAAAGACCAAATATAAAAACACATATTAAAGTATTGTATTAAGGGCTAAACATGTACAAATTATCATTCCTTTCAGGTTTCTAGAAGGTATATGGCATTGGTTTACTTCTCAGGAGAAAGTGCTTCTTTTCCACATTCATCCTCGGGATGGAGTCTGCCAGATATGTGAGCCCCGGATGAAGGAAATTTCAAAGCTAAAATTTCTCCATGTAACTTAAAACCACAAGCAGGCATGTGAAAAGACTGAAATCTATTTGTAATGCAGGATAGGTTTTTTTTTCTTCACTGACTGCTACTCTCATATAATAACACACACAAAAGATAAACTCATAAAGCCTTTGGGGAGTACCTGTTGCCTTTCTCACTTGAAGCACAGGACTCCTAGGATATTTGCAATTTTGATGAAACTACCAGTCTTGTAACGCTTGCAAAGGCCCATAGAGAAAGTACAGAGAACCAATGACACACAAAACCCAACATTATTATTTCATTCATCAGTAGTTCTCAAGCTGATACACACTATGTGTAACATACTGTGTTAAGCACTACAGGGGATATGGAGAAGCACTTATCATCAAAGAGCTTGTGATTAAGTTGGGAAAACAAGATGTACACTTGTGAATATGTAAGTGGCAATAAGAAAACATAAACAGCAGTACCAGAGGATGTGACACTAGACGAAACAGAGCAGCGCCCTGTCTGGGTGCTGTGGGGCTTTGTGCTTTATGTTCATGCAGGGAAAATGCAGAGGCTTCAAACTCCCATCCAGAGAGGATGCCTTTGGTTAAAGGTAACTCTTTCATTACAACAAACCTCAACATTTGACCATGGGCTTTAAATGGTTGCATTCCAAAGTTTTCTTTCTGCCTTCTTCTGACCTGTGTGAATCCCTGGTCCCTCTTCACGACCTCCTCACACAAGGATGAAAACTATGTGCTGAAAACCATAAATCCTGAACACTATGAATATTAATGACAAAACACAGAGAAGAGAGAGATCAAGCAAATAATGTGACCCTGAAGGCTCAACATTTAGTGACTGGAAAGAATTGACCAACCGTTACCCGCTTGAGAAGAAGGTTTTGTCCTAAAGCTGATTCTTTTTTAATTGGCTAAGTTATGTGCATTACTGGTATTTTCTCAACTCAGAGTCTGCAATTATCAAAAAAATGTTTAGTAGTAAAAAGTTCTTTTTAGTTAATTGAGGGCACATTATATGTCAACTTCCGTGTAGACTGCATCGTGTTCACCACCAAAAGTCTAGTTTCCGTCAGTCACCTTACACACATGCCCCTCTAGCCCTTTTGCCCTCCCCTGACTCCCTTCCCCTCTGGTAACCACCTATCTGTTCTCAGTACATAAGTGTTTGTTTATCTTCTGCATATGAGAGAAGTCATAAACACTTCATGGGTGCTAGAGTTCAAACCTCAGTTTTATAAGTGTTGGCTTTGGGAAAACCACTTAATTAGATTAATTAAAGTTCAGTTTCTTGATGGAATTTTCCACTTTTTTATTCAGATGAAGTGAAGCTAACTTTGTTTTGTTGGAAAACTTGAACCAGTCTGGGAGGCACACAGTTCGAGAGTTCAAGCTTCCCATGACTGACTGTCACATAAGAGTCCAGGACTAAGCAGAGAACTGCAAGTGGGTCAACCTCAGAAGAGGTTAAATGCTGGTGAATTTGTACAAGAGTGGTCTTTCGTAGATATAGTCATCCCAGTCAATAGTTCACTGTACAAAACAGCAAGTGTGGGTGGTTATCAAAAATACAACTTGAATTCCCATTACGTTCCCACTGCCCTTTCTGGTTATTACTGAAGCTCCTTTTCTAAAAATGTTAATTCAGGGTTTCTGGTAACCTTGTCTCTGACAACTCCTCCACTGAGCTTCTGCGCACAGAGAGCAGGCAAGTGAGGCAGTGGAAGGCTGGGGGCCTTACAAGGAACTCGCCTAGTGCTGTTGTACTAATTGGATAGCAAAAGGGATCTTCCCGTGACTCATCACTTGACTGGCAGAATGTCGTTCTTCTCACACACAACTGAGTTGCTGAACTGCATCAAAACCTACACAGCTCACGAAATCTTGATAGGCTGAATGGACAAAGAGGGATCATTTTCTTGTAGATTATTATTCTAATTCAAGCAAAACAGACTCAGAAATCAAAATATTTCCATGGTATCAGAAAGCTTTTTAGCTCTAGAATGACCAGGAGAAAAGTGCCTGATTTCTTGACATATGTAATCACAGAACGTAGTACAGTAGACGTGCAACTTGCCTACCTGGAACCTGAATTTTACTGGAATTCTTCAAATTTTACATACAGGATAGGAAAAGGTTTAGATTTTTTTTTGCTTCCTTTTTTTGGGCTAGTGACTAAAGAAAATCAGAAATAAATGTAAATTATGGGCATGAACAAGAAAACTAGGTGATGCAAAAGAAATTTTTTTCCAATTAAATTTTAAAAGCCTAGAGAACAAAAGTATTTACTTCCAAAAGTGTCAGCTAAGCTACAATTTTTCCCCTGGTGGCTCCCATTGTGCTTCTTTCCATTGGATAATGATGAAATTTTATTATTTCACTACTACCATCTTGTATCCTCCAGCTTTCACTTCTCATGAGATTTTAACACAAAAGTCCCTTCTGAACTTGCTTTAAACTTAAACTTAATGAGCTTGCCTTAATATAATAAATTGCTTTCTTTAAAAAAATAATTTCCAGAAAATATAGTGTGGCCCCAAGTCTCCAAAAAATAAAGAAAAAACAAGCTACTTGTGGAGGAGAAAATTGAGTAAAAAGTGGGCAAATTTCAGGCATATTAATTTAATGTTAAAGGAAAATATTCATGTAACACATATACATTCACTACATCTGGTGCAAGTTTGTGTTTGTTTAAAAAAGGCAACAAATTTTTCTACCTTCTCTTGTAGCCTACCTCCCGCAAAAGTTGCTGTTAAGTTTGGATTTATTATCTCAGTAGAGATTTACTGTGACTTTCTTTTTAAATATTTTCAACAGCTTTATTGAAGCATAACTGACACTACATTACACATAAAGTATGCAATTTGATAGATTTGTACATGTGGAGACATCTGTGAAACTATCACTACCATCAAGGTAATGAACATATCCATCACACCAAAAAATCCTCATGTGTAAGCCCTCCCTGCTGCCTCTCTCATTCCCAGGCAACCACTGATCTGCTTCTATCACTATAGATTAGTTTGCATTTTATAGAATTTTATAGGAGTGAATTTTTTTTTTTGTCTGGCTTCTTTCACTCAGCATAATGATCTTGAAATCGATCTGTGGTGTGGCAGGCATCAATGGTTCGTTCCTTTTTACTGCTGAGAGATAATATATCATACTCAGGCATCACAGTTTATCCATTTACCAGAAGGGCATTCTGGGTTGTTTTCAGTTTTTGGCTATTATAAATGAAGAGGCTGTAAATAATCATATGTAAGTCTTTGTATGAACATATGCTTGCATTTGTCTTGGGTAAGACCTAAGAGTGGAATAGATGGATAATATGTTAGGTGTATGTTTAACTTTTTAAGAAACTTCCAAATTGTTTTTCCAAAGTGGTTGTACCGTTTCACATTTCCACTGCAGTGAATGGGAGTCCCGGTTGTTCCAAATCCTTGCTAACATGGGGTGAGCACCTTTTAAATTTAGACATTCTAAATTTCATTGTTGGTAATAATTTGTATTTTCCTAATGACTGATCATACTGAGTATATTTTTACATGCTTATTAGCAATCCGTATATCTTCTTGGGTGAGTTGTCCAAATTCTTGCCCATTTTTATTGATTTTTGTTTGCTTGCTTATTGCTGAGATGTGGGAGTTCTTTATATATTCTGAGTACAAGTTCTTTATCAGAGATAGGCTTTACAAATATTTTTTCCCAGGCTGTGACTTGTCTTTTCATTCCCTTTATAGTGTCTTTCAAAGAGCAAGAGTTTTCATATTGATAAACTCCAATTTATTAATTTGTTCTTTAGGACTTATACTTTTGGTCATACCTAAAACCTAACCCAAAATCACAAAGAATTTCTCCCTTGTTTTCTTGTAGATGTTTTGTAGTTTTAGATTTTACATTTAGGCCTATGGTCTATTTTGAGTTAATTTTTGTATGTGGTATGAGGTATGGCTTGAAGTCCATGTTTTTGCATATGGATATATAAAGGTTCCAGCACCATTTGATCAAGAGGTTCTCTGTTCTCCATTGAGTTGCCTTTGCACCTTTTTTGAAAACCCGTGTTCTGTTTACATGTGGTCTCTTTCTTTATATATGTAACGTAAATATCACACTATCTTGAAAACTAACTTTATAATAATCTTAAAATCACGTGCTATTAGTCCTCTAACTTTGGGTCTTCTTCAAAGTTTTTATGGCTGTTTTAGAACCTTTGCATTTTAATATGAATATGAATTTTAGAATGAGTTTTTCAATTTCTACAAAAGAAGCCTTTCAAGATTTTGATTGGGGTTACCTTGAATATAGATCAATTTGTGGAGAAATGACATTTTAAAAATATTTAGTCTTCCAACCAATGAGCAAGGTGTATATATACATATATATAGATATACATAAAATATATATTTAGGTCTTTAAAATTTTTTCTTAGCAATGTTTTGTATTTTTCCACGTATGAGTCTTTTAACACTTTTTGTCAGACTTATCTTTAAGTATTTCGTATTTTCTGATGATATTGTAAAGGATATTTTATTTTGTGATCATTCATTGCTAGTATATAAAAATAAACCTTGTGTTTAAAACCTCAGATCAGAGGAAAGTCATTTTAGGAGACAGTCTAAGGCATGACTTTGGTGACAGTTTTCATAAAAACTATGTTTCTGTTGAGCTAACGTAGCAGCCGCCCTCGAGCCCCCGGAAATCAGGTCCTGCCTCGTGGGTATAGGACCCTCCAAATGCACCTGCAGGCCTTGCCCTGTAGTTTTCTTAGTGAAGCACTCACGCACACACACAGGCACATCAGCCATACACGCACTCTGCACACACAGAGGAAAAATAATGTCCCTAGAGCTCTGCCTGCAGATCTCCCTCAGGAGAGAAAGGTCAATGTTTCTTCCCTTTAGGTCTTCCTTTTGAGAAGTCCAGACTTCTACCTTCCCACAAGCAGATGATGTGAACCCAAGTACCTGCCAGTCTCTACTTTCTGTCCCATTTCTTAGAAAATGACCAAATTAAGTGAAAAATTGTATAATTTTTGCAAATGTAGTAGACACTTTATCTAAATTATGATTGTCTTCCAAACTTTCACCACTATTATAAATAAATAATAAAGATTTGAATATTGTGGTATAACCAAACACCAACTCCCTAAATAGACAGACCTGTTTGTGGAGTGTGTTGAAGCTAGAAGGAACCTGGAAGTCCATCGAGTCCAGGAGTCAAGAGCCAAATTTGGCTTCGGAGATGTTTTGTTCAGCACTTACAATGTTAGAAGGAGAAGAAGAAAAAAGAGGAGGATTTAGGGTCTTTTGGTGGGGCAAGCACTCTCACTTTATCACAGAAAACAGCCCTGTCTAATATCTTATACCAGGCTTCTGCATAGAGCACATGTCTATTGTCTTTCATGGTCCCTAAAAGCCTTTGAGGTTGCTATGCCTGAATCTTCCTTTTAATTTGTAAAGTTTTATGCTCAGAGAGGAAAAGTGATTTGCAGCTACTCCTGACAAGTAGGAATTGAATTCATCAGTCCAGCGCACCAGGGCAGGACTTCTCAACTCCAATTGTGTTTTAGACTCACCTGAAGACCCTTTCAAAAACACCTTAAGACTTAAAGTCAGAGAATCTGATTAAGTTGATCTGGGATGGGGCCTTGGAATTGGTGATTCCAATGTGCAGCCAGGCTGGAAACCCATTGACACAGAATACTACCAGATTGTCACTGAGGAGATTTCTGTTCCAGCATGAAGATCAGGAGAGAGTCGTCCTTATAGTCAAATTTTAATTCCTTTGCAGAAGCATGTATAGTATGCATAAAATTCACTTTGTGCAAAACTCACTGAAAGAGCCTGACTTTTGACTGTCAAAGGTATACATGAAGGAATATTCATTTTATGTATATCATACTGAAAAACTAGAAGAAAATTAATATTGAACAATAGGGTAACTGGTTTAAAAAACAATAAGACATGGATTCAGTATTTTAAAGCAAGGCTTTTTGCATTATATATATGAAATATATGTATATGTATATCAACAAGAAAAAAGGGCCATGTTTATCAGCTAGACACTAGAAACAACCATCCCAGTTTCCTTAATAAATTAAAAGTGCAAACTTTTGTTTATACACAAATACAAAGTCTCTCTCTAAGATTGCTCTACAGTCTATAGAAAAGGTAGGGATGTGTGACCCTCAGAAAGGAGATATGATATCTAATAAGATTTAACAGGGGAGAGGGTAGTGGACTTTGAGGTCCTAAATTAAGAAACTTTAAGTTGATTTTTGAAATAGGTCCTGATAACATATATTTCAAAGTGGTTACAGTATTTATTCAGTAAATAGTTCAGGGTGCATAAAGGGGTCCAGTCTTGTGGCAGAATGTATTTTCCAAAATGGCCACACCAATATATTTACCCCATTCCACATGCTTTTCTTATAATTTAATTGACACCCCTTCCATTCATAGGTGGGGGTCTATGTTCTCTTCCTTTGAATCTGCCCCACTGGAGAATATAAATAATGCTACATGACTTCTGAGTTATGTCATGATACATATTTTGTTGGCTTGCCATGGTAAAATACTACTCCTGCGTAGAGAAGAAACTCAACATAGCCCTTGGGGAGAGACCATGTGGAACAGCTGACAGAAAAGGAGCCAAAGCCCCCCAGGCAACAGCCAGAATCAACCTCCAGACACAGGAGTGACCCAGACTTCACATGACTTCCACTCACAGCCTTCAAGCCTTCCTGCCAAGGTCCAGACATAGTCGAGCAGATGCAAGCCATCCTCTCTGTATCCTGTCCACATTCATGACCCACGGAAGCCATGAGCATAATAAATGTTGTAGTTTTGAGCCACTAAATTTGGGGGTGGTTGTTATGCAGCCATAGATAATTAATACCACTGTGTTTACCCGTGGGAGTAAAATATTACTTCTGTCAAATACCTTTGACAGCACAGGTAGATACGAGCACTGCGTAATTATAGATGGGATAGTTTCCCCATCAACATCTACACATTTGAAATACACTGCTGATGTTATAGTGCAATATTTATTGACACAAATGCACACAGACAGAGTCCTTGCTTTGGAGGGTAGTGCAGGACTGTAAAATGATCATGCAAGCTAAAATTGAAAAAAGCAATCTTATTAATCAATGGAAAAAATACAATGTTCCAAGACATTCAAAAATTTTTGTCAAAACATTAAAAATTCTTTTACTCTCAATTAAAAGTTTATAGGACATAAACATCGCAAAACTAATATTTATTTAGTATACTATAATTGAAAACATTGAGAATTAAAGTGTATTATTTATTTATTTATTTATTTATTTTGTGAGGAAGATCAGCCCTGAGCTAACATCTATGCCAATCCTCCTCTTTTTACT